TTATATCGCTCTGAATATGACAATATTTGAAAGAATATATATATATATACTATATATTTTTGTATAACTGCGTTGTCGACTCTTTCAATTTTAAAACACTTTATAGTATTGAAAATTATTAATAAATAAAAAAAAAATCCTCCCTATGCTGAATAAATATATGAAATAAAACGTCAATCCCATTTTACAATGGTAAAATCGAGTTACACACTCGAATCATGTTACATGAGACGAATGTATAAAAAAGAGAAGAAAAAAAAAAAACGAAAAAAATAGATATTCGGTCAAGCTGGAATAACTGGAAAAAAATACTGTAAAACACTTTGTCCTTTGTTTGTTTTTTTTTTTTTAATCGGAAACGTGGAGAATTTTTTCAAACCAGCGGCAAATTGCTCATTGTCTCTAAACAAGTAATATTTTTATGTTGTAACTAATTCGAATTTTTTTTTATGTTGTTATTATTATTATTATTATTATAATTATTATTATTATTATTATTATTATTATTATTATTTTTATTATTATTATTATTATTACTGTTATTACTATTACCATTATTATTACTATTATTATTACTTTTATTTTTTTTTTATTTTTTTTTTAAATATTTATTTAAATGCAAAAAAAGGTAAAGGATGCTGTAAGCGTTTTTGAAGGTTTCTTCTTTGAACTTATATATTGTTTTGTATATATATATATATTTGAATGAAGAGCGTTCGAGGGCGACAATGGAAGAAAGGAAAATTTGATTATATATTGTTTATTGATGAGTAAATCTGAAATAGCCTAGATTCAACGAGTGTGACCTCTTATATATATGATATGTATATATATATATATGTATGTAGGCAAATTGTCGAGCGTGCGCCTTTAAGTCCGCTTAACCCTTCCTTGGAAAGCCGCTTTAGAGGAATCGATAGAGGTATAACAAAGTGTTTTGCTCTAAATTGAGAAGAGATCCAAAAGAAAGTGAGAATAAAAGCTCATTACCCCCTGAGACGCGATATAATGGGAGTGACAGTGACTTTAACATTTTGCTTTATATATATATATAATCGAAAGCAAAAACAACACGAATGACAAAGATGCATATATATAGTGCTCATTAAATTCTCCCGATGACATTAAAAAAAAAATAATTCTTTCTCAATTTTTCAAAATAAAAATATATTTCTTTTCTAAATTTTAATTTTTTAATTGAAAATAGAAAAAAAAATTTATTTCTGTTCATAAATTTTCAATTGTTAATAAAAAAATTGTTTTCTAATAATAATTGATTGTAATAATTTTATTTAATAATAATTTAAATAATTATTTAAATTTCATTTATAAAACATAATTAATTGTTTGCTTACAAAATGGTAATTGTTTAAATAAAATAACAAATTTTTTATATATTTGTAAAAATTTAATTACATTGAAATATTAAAAAAAAATTGCTGATAAAAAAAATATTTTTTTTTACATTAACATTAAAAATATTACAAAAAAAAATTTTTAAATCTGCCTATGGAGATTACAATTTACATCAAAAGGGAAAGAAAACTGAATTATATAATTATATAGGTCATGTGTTGTTATTTTTTTTTCTTCTTTCATTATCCTCTTCTCATTTGTCTAATTGCTCAAGGGACAATAGCTATAAAACGAGTTAATTTGGACTTTAAAATGAGATGTTTCACTATATATATATATGGGACTAAATTTAGAAACACTTTCCCCGCAGACAGACAGAGAGTGAGAGAGAGTTTCCTGTCATTTTTTTTTGATGATTTTCATTTCTCCAACTAAAGCTCACATATTACTTTCAAATAATAAATTGAAATGAAGGTGTTGGAATATCGTGAATTTTTGAAAATGTATACGACAGTATGAGGCAAAGTTGCCTTTGTCAATTCACTATTCTTTCCCTCTCTCTCTCTTAGTCGCTTTGATAAGCACCGCTTTCATTAAAACTAGACTGCAAACAGCATCTTAAAAAGTCACTGGGAATAAATGCGAAATGAAAAAGAGTGTCTAATATCTTTTCTGATAAATTAAGGAATTTTTTTCATCACTTCAAAAATACTCGCATTTTTTTCAACAAATGAAAAACAAAATTAATACCCATGAGGAAAAATAATTTCACAATTTTTTCAAAGTAGTTGACTGTGAAAAAAACACATTTTTTTTATATTTAAAAAAATTTATTATTATTTCATGATAAAAATTTCTAAATGATAAGTTAATTAAAGTATGATGGAAAATAATTTCAAAAACAAGGGTCAAAAGTGAAAAATATAATTTGAAAAATAATAAAAAAATATCAGAGAGAGAGAGAGAGAGTGAGAGAAAAGAAAATATATTTTGTAAACGGAAAAAAATAACATCATTCGCAGAAACAGTATTACAGCAATTTGAAAATGTGTCAGAATCAAGAAATTGCAAAAAAAAAAGAAAAAAAAATTGAGAAATATAAAATAAAAAATGCAAATTCTCGAGTATAACATTTTTGCAATATATATATATCGATATTGAAAGGATTAATTCTAAAATGTATGTAGAGCTTGATCAGTGTCCTGAATTCAAATTAAGGAATAAACCTCTTATCTTTGGAAATTTCATTGCTTTAACATCATCTAAAGAGGATAACACTGATGTTAACAGAGTTGCCCAAGGGATGAAGTGGATTTGACGCTGTGATAGAAGGACGTTGGCATTTCGATTAACTGTAACTTTTGTCCCAGTTGGAAGTGCATCTACGGCCTCAAATATATATCTATAGATTAAATATATATTGATATTAAAAATTCCTCTTTTTTTACATTTACTTTTATTACTTCATTGCACTTCCGTTTTGAAAAAGTTTAATTTAAAATAAAAAAAAAATTATCTGGAACAATGAAACGTTTCACTATAGTAGCAAAAGTTTTATTTGTTACAGTTAAATCTTTCGCTAGCCTAGTGAAACCTTTCGCTGTTTCAGGTAAATTATTTTCCATGCATGTAGAATATAGTCAAGTTTCCAACAAAAGCGATTATGTGAATTCTTTTTTGTAATTGAATTTTTACGGTTCAATTGGATTTTTAAAAAAAAGGAAAGGAAAAAAAAACCTTCTTTGAGAAAATGAAAATTGCCTGTCATTTCAAATCGTCTATATTGAAGACACTTATACCACTCTTTTTAAAATGGGAATTTTTTTTTCATTACATTTTCCATTTAATCCCCTCCCCCATGCGTTATCTCTTTTTTTTTCTTTTTTTTTTTTAGATAAGTACTCGACATTTGATTTTCGATAAACTTTTCTTATTTGGTCATTTGTGTCTGACTAAAACCAACTTGCACTACTTATAGAATTACAAAAGCTTAAAAAAGTTTAATTAGAAATTTACTTTTACTACTGTTCTTTTAATTTATTACGTCCGACTAATAATAAGTTGTACTACTGATAAATTACAGAAATTTAACGAGGCTGATTAAATATTTACTTGTACTACTGAAAAAATTAAAAAAAAAAGTTTAGAAAATCTGACTAAATATTTACTTTTACTACTGATTTTATAATTTAATAATTATATCTGACTAAAACCGATTTAGTCTACTTATAAAATTACAAATAATTATAAAGTCTGATGAAATATTTACTTTTACTACTGATTTTATAATTTAATCATTACGGATGACTAAAACAGATCAAATCTACTTATATAGAAATTTACTGAAAAAAATACTAAACATTTACTTTTATTACTGATTTTATAATTTAATGTCTGACTAAACCCGATTTAGTCTACTTATAGAATTATAAAAAAAATTATAAAGTCTGACGAAATATTTACTTGTACTACTGAATTACGAATTTAGTTATTATGTCTCACCAAAAGCGATATTTACTACTAATAACATTACCAAAATAAAATTTGAAAGTCTGATTAAATATTTACTTTTACTACTGTTTTTATAATTTAATAATTAGGGCTGACTTAAACTGATTAAATCTACTTATATAGAAATAAACTGAAAAAATAGAAAGTCTGACAAAACATTTACTTTTACTACTGATTTTATAATTTAATGTCTGACTAAACCCGATTTAATCTACTTATAGAATTATAAAAAAAATTATAAAGTCTGACAAAATATTTACTTGTACTACTGAATTACGAATTTAGTTATTATGTCTGATCAAATGCGATTTATACTACTAATAACATTACCAAAAAAAGTTTGAAAGTCTGATTAAATATTTACTTTTACTACTTATTTTATAATTTAATCATTATGGCCGACTATAGCCGACTTTTACTACTGATAACATTCCCCCCAAAAAAAATTCAGAAGTCTGATTAAATATTTACTTTTACTACTGAGTTTATAATTTTATAATTATGGCTGACTAAAACAGATCATATCTACTTATAAAGAAATTAACTGAAAAAATAGAAAGTCTGACTAAACCAAAAACGATTTTTACTACTAATAACATTACCAAAAAAAAATTTGAAAGCCTGATTAAATATTTACTTTTACTACTGATTTTATAATTTAATGTCTGACTAACCCCGATTTAGTCTACTTATAGAATTATTAAAAAAAATTATAAAGTCTAACGAAATATTTACTTCTACTACTGAATTACGAATTTAGTTATTTTGTCTGACCAAAACCGATTTGTACTACTACTAAACTTTACAAAATAAAATTCGGATGTTTGATTAATTATTTACCTGTACTACTGATTTTATAATTTAATAATTACGGCTGACTAAAACCGATTTAGTCTACTTATAAAATTACAAAAAATAGAATGTCTGACTAAATATTTGCTTCTACTACTGATTCGATAATTTATTAATTACGTCTGACTAAAACCAATTTAATCTACTTATAAAATTACAAAATCTAACTAAATATTTACGTCTACTGCTGATATATTTATAAAAAATTTTTATAAAGTCTGACTAAATATTTACTTTTACTACTGTTTTTCTAATTTTCTAATTACTATTTTTTTTTCTAGATTCGTGATCATGGACATTTTTGAAGCATGCATTATTTTCTAATCGGTAAGTGTTTCAGTGCTTTTATATAATTTTCTTTTTTTTACTAACAGCGTTAATTAATATTTTATTTTACACCTTGAATCTCTATAAAATAACACACAATTTGGAAATTTGTCACCTAGACAAATAATTATATAGATTCACTGCAAAATAATGTCTTATTAAAAGACAACATGTTCTTAAAACATTTTATACGGAAAAAAATATTTACCTAAAAACAGCTAAAGGTTTCTCTAGAATAGCGAAAGATTTAATATTGAAACAAGTAAAATTTTTTACTACTACAGTGAATAATTTCGTTGTTGCAGATAAATCTTTTGTATAATATATCTTTTCATTAATTTTTCTTTTTTATTTAAATTTCTTACAATAATTCTAAATAATATACACTAAACTCTCGATAAATGAATAATTGCAAATTTTTTAGCTTTAAATAAACGAAAAATGCCAATAAAATTGCATGGACCTTGAAATTATTTTAGAATTGTGCTTTTTAACTTTATAAATATGAAATGAAGAGAATACGAAATATCCAAATAAGTTCAATATGAATACAGTCGTACTATATTATTTTTAACTTGGAGTTTGTTCAGTGAAATAGAATATTATTTCTTGCGATGATTTAAATATATATATATATATATATATATATATATATATATATATATATATATATATATATATATATATATATATATATATATATATATGTATATAAATATATAGACGTCATACTGTGTTTTTCAATACATATTTAGAGAGAAGAATTGTCATGGGTTTGACTGTTATATATTTCGGATGAAAGTGATGAAAACTCTTGTTTGCAGTTGAGTGTCGCAATTGAACGGAAATATTTAGATTAGAAAACCGCAAACTAAATGAAAACTGGGGTTCGTCGCATCGATTCGAATGAAATATAACCGTTGTGGCAATTTTCCGAAGCGGGTGTGACATTTAATTTTTGAAACTTCACTTCATCGAGTTAATTGCCAATGATATTTCATGTTGCAGTTTTCTCTTTATTTTTTTTATTTTTTTTTTTTTTATTTTTTATTTTTTATTTTTTATTTTAACAAGGAATTTTGCAGAATCCATAGAATTATCCTGGTGGAAATATCTCTTTTTTTCAATGCATTGCGGGATAATCATTTTAAATAGAATATATATATATACTATATGAATGAGTGCAATCGAACTCGGGAGAAACAATAGAAAATTTTAAATAGAGAATAGAATTCATTATTAGCGAGAAATTTATACTTTTATTATTATCTATTCATTTACATAAATATAATGTGCATTCAATGGCGGGTTAGTATATTTCCAAACTTTTGTTTTCGTATTATTTATTTTTATAACTTGGTTTAAATTTTTTTAAAAAAAATTTTTATAAATGAATATTTCTTGAAGCTTTATTTTTTTTTAAACATTTTAATTAAGTGCAATGTTTCACAGTATGACGTCATCGATTGATTCTGTAAAAACTGACAGTTAATTTTTTTTTTTTAATTAAAACAAAGATGAAATGAAAAATTTTATGTCGAAAAAAATTATGTTTTTCATTTTTAAACTTTTTTTTGATATTTTTTTCTCAAATAATTTTTATTTCTAAACACTATTATTTTTTAAGAAAAATCTATAAATAATAGACAATGAAATTATTAAAATCAGATTTTTTTAAAAAAAATAATTTTCTTTTTATTTATAATTCTGAATGCAATGTGTGGCTTTAAATTTTGATTAATTATTTTAATTTTAGTAATGAAGCCAATAAAGTGTTATTAACATAATTATTGATGTTGATTCAATTAATCAAATGTATTTTATAATTAATTAATTAATAATTGCTTTTGAAATATTATACAGTATGATTTCGTTTTTGTAATATTCAATGAATTAGAATTTAAAAATTATGAAAACGATTTTATTTTTTGAAAAAACGATTTTTGAGTGTAAAATTTTTTTTAAATTTTGTAACAATATTTCGGATTATTATTAATTCATTGGAAAATGTGACATCGAAAATCGCTTATTCTGCAGTTTAGTAAATAAACTGATCCTCTCTCGAAACAAAAGTTTCGTTTATTTAGGAAAAGTGATATATGTATTCGGAGCAGTAGATTAAATTGAAAATTCACTTTACAAATACAATGTCATCACAATATATACATATATATATATATATATTTCGTTGATGCGTTTTATTTTAATTTTTATTTATATATTAAAATATAACAGCGAAATATATATTTTTTTTATTTTCATTTCTTATTATAAAATTAATATATTCTCTTTTTATTTTCAATTGTTCATTGATTATTAAATAGACGAATGAAAATTTTTATCTTTTTTTTTTTGTTAACAAATTTCATAAATAAAATAATTAAAAATATCAAGCTTACGTATTTTTGTAACTGTTCAAAATTCGTGGAAATTATTTTAGAGGGCACATGAATTCGCGTGACTCACATTTTCGAACTTTTACCCTTCTCTTGAACAAGCGATAAAAACTTTTCAGCCTCCTTTGGACCAAAGCCAAGTAATCTTTATATGATATTTACACATTGTGAATAACGATTTAATGCTTCACAATTTTCATTGTTATATAAAGAAGAGAGAGAGAGAGAAAAAAATCACGTTTTATATTATTCGTGAAGGGCATTGATAAAAAAAAACTATTTTTTTAATAAAATTTTTTTTACATTAATCAGGATGTCTAACGGTCAGGGAAGTCAGGGAAGTCAGGGAAAGTCAGGGAAAAGTCAGGGAAATTTCTGTAAATTTCTACAAAAATTAAATTTTTTTTTGTGAATTTAAAAATTTTTTAATCTAAAAAAACTTGAATGGTTTTTATTACCATTTGTTACTACCATTAGAAATTAATTTATTGTTAAATATGTCAATAACCATATTTTTGTCCAAAGAAAGCAGAAATAAAGTTATTAAAAAGTTAGGGAAAAATAAAAAAATGTCAGGGAGGAGTCAGGGAATTTTTTTCTCAATCCTTGTTAGACACCCTGTTAGTATAATTAATTATTTAATTAATAATTTATTAAATAATTTAATAAATATTAAATAAAATTAACATTTTTCATATTTTTGTTTAGTATTTATTATTATTAATTAAAAAATTTTTGTTGAAAAAACATGTTTAAACAAATATTAACACTGATGAGAATTAAAGATCCAGTTTAAAAGATTCATGAAACTTGATTTATATATAATAATCTCATAACAGGAAATTCTATGGAATAGTACACATAGTTCAGTAGACTTTGTATAAGGCTTCAATAACCATTGAGTATTAAAGCATATTTAACGATTAATAGACAGTTGACTGTTTCTATGATGTTTACTACACCCTCAATTATTCATCAACAAATATTAATTTCCCAGTAAATTTGCCATTTAAGCTGCCACATTTACTATATATTATATATATATATATATCACATAATAATATATACAATTAATTAGTATTACTATTATTGACAAAATAATTGCAAATTAAAAACAAATTAATTTTTTTATAGAAAATTAAAAGATTTTCTTTTAAGAATTTTTTTTTGTTATCAAATAATATATATTTTATTTATTTATTCATTATTTGTTTAAACAAGTTTTTTTGGTAATTTATAATATTTCCTAATATTTAATGCAAATTAACATAGACTGAATGTATAAACAAATAACTATTATAAAAATTTATTATTTCATAATTGTTTAAACAAATAATTTAGTTTAATGATCTAGATTAGTGATCCAGATTAGTTATTTAGATCAATGATCTAGATCACTGGTATTGATTTAAAGATCTTAGGTAATTTTACTGAAAATTGTATATTACAAAAATTTTTGTATTTTAAATAAATAAAAATAAAATTTAATTTAAATTTTCAAAAAATAGATTTAAAAAACAAATGTGTATTTGAAAAAGAAATTATTTTGAAAATCTGGTACATGGCACAATTTTATGGTTCAAGACAGTATATACATATACATATATATTTGTTTTGAAAAGTAAAGCTCGGCTTGTGTGTGCGACCTGATTTCCTGTAAAGCACATTCATATCCGGATTTTGTTGGGAATTTTCGACGTCAGATCTGTGTGTCGCCCCCTCCCCTTCCCTTAGGCTGAATTTTTTTTTTTTTTTTTTTTTTTTTTGACGTAAGCCCAATGTGGATTTTGGACAATCGCCAAGCTCTCTATCTTTTGTCATCGTTCGATATTTGAAAATTCGCCATCTTTTATTCCCTCCTCCGCAATTCATATTATTATTTTTTTTTTAAAAAATTATATTTTATCAGATAAAAATTAATTTTTTCCTTAATGATTTTTAAATTAATTAATAATTAATAATAATAATTAATAATTATCCCAGGTGAAAAAATTAACGTTACTAACGTTACTAATGTTACTAACGTTAGTACCTATAAAAAAATTAAAGAGTTTCTAAAATATATTTTCACAGAAATTTTGCCACTACTTTCCCATTACCACTTTCACTTCCACTTAAACTTTTTATAATTTTCATTCCTATTTCCACTTATACTTTTTCTAATTCTCATTCACACTTTCACTTTCACTTGTTCCAATTTTCATTCCCATTTCATCTTCCACTTTTTTATTTTCATTACAACTTTTTTATATTTTCACTCCCACTTCCATTCCTAATTTTTTAAATTTTCATTATCACTTTCACTTTTTCTGATTTCCATCCATGGTAATTAAAAAAAGTGGAAATGGTTGTGTGAATGGAAATTAGAAAGAGTTTTAGTCGAAATGGCAGTAGCTAATGAAAATTAGAAGTGGAAAAAATGGGAGTAGAAGTGGGAATGAAAATTAGAAAAAGAGAAGTGGGAATAAAAATTAGAAAAAGTGGAAGTGGTAATGAAAATAAAAAAGTGAAAGTGGAAGTGAAAGTGAAAGTGGAAGTGAAAGTGGAAATGATAATTAGAAAGAGTGGAAGTGAGAATGGAAGTGCGAATGAGAATTAGAAAAA